ATTTGACAAACATGTAAAAAGACAATGGCGTCTTTAATGAAGCCAGAAGTCATCGGAAGTGAATTCCAAGCAAACAAGTTTATTCTCGTTCATTACGGATGTGCATCAAGTGCTCGACGGTCAAGACGGTCAAGACGGTCACATGGCAGCGCCGGGAAAGTGGAACATGTTTCTGGAGGTGATCAGAGGAACTGCAGCAGAACAGTTCCTTCTCTACGTGCACTATTTACTGCTTCAGAAAATGACGACAGCGGACGCTGAGGCAGAAGTTAAACTGTGGACAAAACCAACAGGTGGCGCCGTTCTTAACCCTCTGCTCAGACTGCTGCTGCAAATCCTATTCGATTATTGCGTCGGTCAAACTCTGTGTAGTAGCGGGCAATGAAGTTGGCCCCGAGGATCCAGATAGGACCTGTAGGGGGCGGCACATCCAAGCCCCGAAACGTGACGGTGCAAACATCGCCATCTATCTGTGATTGCTAAAGACAAAAAGAACAGGGTGTTATGAGCTGTCAAACAGTCAACATTCACCGTGAGAAAAATAAAAATAATAAAATGTTCGATTATTTGGACGAATTGTTTTACGAAGCCTTTTCTTAATGTGTTTCGTAGTTTAATCGTGTCTCACTGCTAAAGGCTAACTAGTGCAGCGTAAAGAATTTGCACCACGTCCGGATTTGATAATCAAATTGTAGACCCCCCCCCCCCCAGGGCAGTTATCCTGTAATCCTACAGCTCTTATTAGTTTGTACTAAAATCCCAGCACGGCTGGTGCTGCACCGTCTTAAAGTTCTAATGAGCCACGTAACAGGAAACAGGTGTGTGTGTGTGTGTGTGAAGGCCCCCTGGTGGCGGAGGAGGTCCGTGCGCTGCAGTCACCACAGACACCTGTTCATGAACTCAAACCAGTTCAGACTGGTCTCCGACAGCTTTTACCGTCACATCTCTGTCCAGCCTTGAGCTGTGTGACCTTTGACCCTTGACCTCTCAAAAATGAATCCTTACCCACAGGATGTAGTCCTCGTGGGTGAGGGCGTAGTCCTGGTCCCCCAGGCGGAAGGTGACGCTGGGTAAAGTCTGGACGCCGTCACAGTTGACCCTGTACTGAAGGACGACAACGACCGACGGTGACCGACCGGGATGGGCAGGGGGGGGGGGTTGTGTGTTGGGGTAGTTATCAGGGGCAAACACTTACCCCACTCTCATCCTGCTGAGCTCCGATGGTCTTCATCAGCAGGGACACGGAGGAGGCGGGGCCTGTGATGTAGGAGGAGCCTGTGTCGATCACAGCCGTGCAGCTCTCTGTGCAGAACATCATCTGTGTCCCCACGGAGACCCTGAGAGTGGACAGAGGGGGGAGGACGTCAGTGGAGAAACACCCCCCCACACACACACACACACACCCAGAATAAATGGAACAACATCAGAGGTTGATGATGATGGTCGTCACCCCTTCATGGTGACCTCCCATTTTCCCACTTCTCTTGTGTTCATGTAGCTGAAGGTTCCTGTGTAGTAGTTTGGATCAGTACCGCCCAGAACCAACTCTCCACCAGGGGAGTGTTTAGGGTCTCTGTGAAAATATGAAACACTATTAGCAACTTTATTAAAACAATATAAAAATGACACTGTTGAAAGAACTGATTTCAGCAAAATATACATGTACTATATATATACTGTATATACATGTACTATATACAGTATATACATGTACTACATATATACATATATACATTACTATATACACACATGTACCGTATATATATACAGTAAATATATATATGCAGTACATATATATGTATACATGTACTGTATATATATTTACTGTATATATATATACTCACACATATTTATATATATTTATATTCATAACATCCCAGATATAAAAACTCCAAACTCGTCCAGTTTTTTCTCAATGGACTTTAGTTTCAAAATGAGAATTAAAGTTCAAATACCTGAGAGTGTGTGTGTGTGTGTGTGTGTGTACAGTCAGTGTTTATTTTCACTGAGTTCCAACCTCCTGCAGTGTGTGTAAATACCAGCAGAGGTCACCTGACTGCCCACTCTCTGACTCCTCCCACCAGGACAATAAAACAGAGTGAATTATGGGAGGTGAAGAGCGTTCTTCCACCGCGGGTTCTTCTCTGTGACCGACCTGTTGTAGTAGATGGAGAACACCTCCTCCTGGAGGACGTGCTGGGACATGATGCGGTCGAACACGGGGGTGATGCCGTCGATGGCCGTGTGGGGGTAGCCCATCCCCAGGACGCCGTCAAACTTGGCGAAGACGAAGGGCAGGGCAGACAGCGAGGTGGCCTCCGCAAAAACCTGGACCACGGGAATACCCCCCACCTGCAGTAGGAAGAGAGGGGGGAGTAAAGGGGGGAGGGCAACAGTTGAAGCCCCCAGAGGTGGAGGTCAGTGGGTTTGATTTCACCGTGGGAGGAGCTCAGACTCACCACCACCACGTCTTCACTCAGGAAACCACGGACGCTTCCAGAAGCGTACTGGATGGAGAATCCCGTGCCGTTCTCCACGTAGGTCCAGGACTTACTGGCGTCGTACCTGTTGTGAGTAACTAACAGTTCAAAATTCTTTTGAGAAAGATCTGAGTAGAAGAGTTTGTGCTGCAGGTCAAAGGTCAGCAGTGATCCATCTCCTGGTTCGTCCTCTGACCAACTCATCCTTCAGTCTCAGTCCACATCCAGCCAACAGAACCTCAGTCATCCAGAATGCACCGCCGCTCCCCCGCCCCTCACTTTGAGAACCACTGTACACCATGTTTAAACCACAGATCTGAAGCTGAGGTGAGAAAACGTGTCATTGTCCTCCTGGACCACACGGTGGCAGACGTGGTCAGCTCACTTGCCTTACAGCAACTATTCACTCTGACTGAGCAGAGGTGTGAATGTGAGTGTGAATGGACCCAGGACTCAAACATTTATGGATCATTTTTCTGTAACAAACACTTTCAGCTCTGGTTCTGATTAGTTCTAGCTGTAACTTGTTAAAGTATTATTTATTTCCCTCCCCCTCCCCCCCCTCCCCCTCTTCCTCTCCCTCTCTGGTGTCAGAACTCTCCTGTGGGAACCATCAGTTCCGTGCTGGTACTTTCAGATGCACAGACAGACTTACAGCAGGCCGTGGAGAAGGGGGAGCAGCTCTGGGACGGGACCCACAGGTTGGCTGAGCCCGTGTCAAACACCACGTTGAACATCTGGGCCGGGGAACCGATACTGATTTCCCCAAAGTACTGAGTCTAACGGGAAGAGAAACGAACACATGAACACACACAGACACAGACACAGAGACACAGAGACAGAGACAGTTGTTCCTGTCGTCCTCCCACTCCCCCGTGAATCACAAACAAACTCTGAACACAGAGCGATGAGGACGAGGAGTTCTGAAGTGTAAATGAACAGAAACCAGATCTGCTCCTGGGTCGGAGTTCTCTCAACTGTTTTTGGCTCCAGTTCCTGCACAATCTGTTTTCACCACTCAGTAGATTTCTGCTCATCAACCCCCCCCTCCCCTCCACCCCCACTTCCAGAGTGCCTCACATCCAAGTAGTTGGTCAGGGGGGTGGGGACGGTTCCGTTGTTGTTGTGGGCGGCGCCCGTTCCCTGTGACAGCTCCGTCAACACCTGCTCCACAGGAACTCCCAGCTCCTGCAGAGTCTCCCTGATGGACGGCATCTTCTTCAGAGCGACTCTGTTGACAGACGGACAGTGAACGACACCTCAGCAGGTCGGAGGGAAATCAGCAGAGTCTGGTTATGGTCTCAGTTTGGCCTTTACTGCCTTTAAGAAGGAACAGATTTATGAAAAAGACCAAAGACAAACACATGTTTACAAACACTAACAACGTTAGCTTTAGCATCAATCTTCAAAACACACTTTTTCAACCATCACTGTGGCAAATGTGTTGTTGATGTAAAAACTGGACACGGGCCAGAGTTTTATTCACAAATTATTGAGAAAGAAAAACTTCTGAGACGAATGGAAACAAAATGAAAATCATTTGTCAGTCTCAGTTGATCAGACGTTTTGATTGGCTCACCAGACGTCGTAAAACATCGACACTTTCCCTCATTTTTGTATTTATTTCTCTTTATAAATAAAATTCAGATTCATAGGATTTTTGTTAAAACTCCGATCATCAAACAAAGGTCAAAGGTTTTCTCACCTTCTCAGGGAACGACCCGTAGTTTCTCCAAGTGAAAGCAGCAGCAAACACAGCCAGCAGCTCGTCAGCAGCGCCATGGCGTCCCCTCTGGTGGAGTGCGTTGAATATTCCACAGGTGTTCGATGCCCAGCTGCCCCTGTGTCTGTGTGCTCTGGGCTGCGGTCCGCCGGTCTTTATACCCTCTCCTCTCCACCATGATCCCGGCCACAGGTCACTGACACCGGCTGGGAGTCTTCATGGGGTGATTCGGCTTCAGGGACCCCGCCCCTCGGCCCCTCTGCCCCTCGGCCTCGCTCACACAACCCCTCCTGTGATAAACGGGTTCCAGTGAGAGGTCTGAACTTTGACCCCGTGGAACCACCGCAGACAGAAAGCAGGGGTGCCGAGTCCTGGACGGAGAGAGGAGCTGGGAGCAGATTAGACCGACGTCACCGACAGGACAAAGATTCTGGAAACTTACCCAGCATGCATTTCCCACAGCCATAGATCTGTGCAGGTCAGACTCAGTCTGTCTGTCCCTGAAGACCACGCTGCGCTCAAGTCTGACCTTTTTTTTCTTTTTCTTCAAATGAACAGACCAAATAAAAGGTATAACCCAGAGATGGAGGTTCAACATAAGGTCAGCACCTCTCACAGAGCCCACGTCCTACTTTAACATCATCACATGTTGTTACAGGGTTTAAGACCAGTGGGATTTGATCCTAGATCAGAGCTGGGGCTCAGGAGGCTTTAACCACGGGGGGGGGGGGGGGGGGGGGGGGTGTGTTACTGTGGTATCTGGGCTGTCAGGGTGGGATTGTACTTGTTAGTGTTAGTTCTGTATCAACCACCCAGGCAGGCCAGGGTCCACATCAGGAGCGACCTCAGACAGCTGTGGTAAAGGTCAGAGGTCAGAGGTAGTCAGATAGTCTCTGACATCAGAGCCCTGAGAAAATGATAGTGTGTTTTCACACAGTCTACATAAATAAAACAAAGACCCGTCGGTCGTTTCACACAGAGGAAGAAACGGTTAAAAACTCATTTGGACTTTTACAAAAAAATTATTTTCCTTTAACAACTGGCTCGTTCTAAGTTTGAGGGGCGTTTTTTTTATCTCTCACGAAAGCAGTTCATTAAAATGCAGTGAGCAGAGCTTTCCACTGAAAACACTGCCCCCTACTGTCCAGTATACAATGTGCGACTTAAACTGTGTAGAACTGTTTCCATGAAGAACCAACGAAGACGACGTCAGAAAATAAGTCTGAATAACGACCTGGTGAGGTGTAGACTCCTGAAGTGTCCACTGGGGGCGTCACACTGAGAGGACGATGAGACAGTGGACTGAAGGAGGACGATGAGACAGTGGACTGAAGGAGGACGATGAGGATGAGACAGTGGACTGAAGGGATGAGACAGTGGACTGAAGGAGGACAGTGAGACAGTGGACTGAAGGAGGACAGTGAGCAGATGGTTGTAGGTTCTGATCTAGAACCTTCTGATTGTGTTTTTCTCGGAGTCCAACCTGGAGCAGAGACAGAGATTTGGTCATTTCAGGAAAATTCATTTTTGTAATTTGTCCCAGAAAATGTCGACTTCGACCTCGTTGGTTCTTTTTTTCCTCCAACCGTTCAAACAATCGTCAGACTGTGGGTTTGAATGTTGAAACGTCGATTGTTGTTGGCACGGTGACAAACTACAGCCTGACAACTAGTGAACTGAGAACAGTTCCACGACTGTTCGATGGTACTGTTCTCCAGTCTGATGGGTTTTTAATGAAGCACAGATTTAGACTCAACGCACAAAACCTGTGCTGCAGCCGACATGTACAAGAACCAGCTCCTCTGAGTCACTTCCTCCACATTCACACAGGTGAGTTGCCGTGGTAACAGACGTTTCTAACAGCGTTGGGCAGACGCGGGTTCTGACCTCACCAACTAAACCAACAACAACAAGCCTGGTTCCCACACGGACTGTGGAGCGACACATGCGTCACTCCAGACCGGCCTTCCACCTCCACACCCGCCCTGGTCCACGGTGGGTCGGCCTGGGAAACGTGAAGCGCCCCCCTGTGGTTGGTTTCAAATTCTCAGTCTAATTTGTGACGTTTCTATTTCACACTCAAAAAAACAGAAGGCTTCATTTCAGCAAATGGTAAAAAAAAATTTAAAAAAAAATCCCATTGTCATTAAATCATGGACATTTTTTTTAAAAATCCCATTGTCATTAAATCATGGAGGTCAGTGAAGAGGAGCGTGTGACTCCGCTGAGACTCATCAGTGGCACAAGTCACGTCAGAGGATCTCGTGAGTTATCTGTCATGATAAGAAAGATATGGAGCTGAGCGGTGGGTGTCTGAGGGAAACAGCAGACCAGAACCAGAACCTCAGAGTCAGGTCGACACCCACGGCTCTGTTTACACTCGGGAGCAAAACTCACAGCTTCAGTTCTCAACCAGAAAAAAAGATTTTCTACATAAAATATGTTAAAATAATAATAAAAAAAGCTCATTCCTCAAAAGAACACAGCACCGAGTCTCTTTGTCTGATGTGTGGAATTTCAGTCTGAAGCCAAAGAACTGGGTAAAGACACGAGTGTGAATCCATCTGGGGGAAATATTTAGACAAATATGTGAGGCGGCGTTCATCTGAGGAGAATGTAGCAGCGGAGAAAAGAAAAGACATGAAGCAACAACACGATGAAGGCACTGACTCTGATCTGGAGCTGTCACGTTAGTAATCACCTGTCAAAATCACTCGTGATCGACTGGAGTCAAACTCTATGGGAATCCACGGCCCCAGGTTCAACCCCCCCCTCCCTCCCCCCCCCCCCCCCCCCCACCCCCGCCACAACAACAAAAAACACAAAACCAAACTCATCAGTGGCACAAGTCACGTCAGAGGATCTCGTGAGTTATCTGTCATGATAAGAAAGATATGGAGCTGAGCGGTGGGTGTCTGAGGGAAACAGCAGACCAGAACCAGAACCTCAGAGTCAGGTCGACACCCACGGCTCTGTTTACACTCGGGAGCAAAACTCACAGCTTCAGTTCTCAACCAGAAAAAAAGATTTTCTACATAAAATATGTTAAAATAATAATAAAAAAAGCTCATTCCTCAAAAGAACACAGCACCGAGTCTCTTTGTCTGATGTGTGGAATTTCAGTCTGAAGCCAAAGAACTGGGTAAAGACACGAGTGTGAATCCATCTGGGGGAAATATTTAGACAAATATGTGAGGCGGCGTTCATCTGAGGAGAATGTAGCAGCGGAGAAAAGAAAAGACATGAAGCAACAACACGATGAAGGCACTGACTCTGATCTGGAGCTGTCACGTTAGTAATCACCTGTCAAAATCACTCGTGATCGACTGGAGTCAAACTCTATGGGAATCCACGGCCCCAGGTTCAACCCCCCCCTGGTCCCCCCTCCCCCTCCCAGTACCTAAACCTGAATGAAGAAAAACAAATGCTGAAACCAAACCTTTTTTAGTCAGTTAAATGCAGAACATAAACAAATCAGTTTGAAAAAAAAAGCCCAGTCCAGTGAGTACTGTTTATATATATATATTTAGCTTGAAGGACACAGGAGGCACTGGAACTGATCCAGTCTGACATCAGTGGACATGTGAGGCCTTCAGGAGAAGGTAATGTTACACACCATAACTACCTGGAACTTGTGTGAGATTTACAGCGGAGTTATTCCAGCCATCGTGTTCCATTACAATTATACAGCAGAGTGAACGTGTGTTTGTGGGCCTGGTCTACGTGAACTGATGTGAGAACAGTTCCCACATGTCAAAGACTTTCTCTGTTTTCAAAAAGCCAACATCTGGGGAACACATGGGAAACCCGTGCAGCTCCTCGCTGCAGTGTTTGCCACTCAACACCGTGTGTCACTGTCAACTAGGGGCAGGAATATTTACTGGGACCCTGGAGGTCAGGAGGTCATGGACACAGAACTGTGTGGATTCATCTCTGTATCAAACAAACAACGAGAACTCTGGATCACAAGTTTTACTTTGATAAATGTCCATGGCCCCCGTGTGGTCCGTGAAGGCACTGCAAGTGGTGCCTGGCCGGGTGGCGTCATGTTTGTTGTAGTTCACATGGAGTAACATTTTTGAAATATTGAAGTGTTCCTGAAATAAATATGTTTATTTATTTTTTTAAATCATAAAATATGTGTCCCTTTTGTAAACATGAAACACCAACTCTTTAAAAGAAGGTGTTTTACTTTATTATAATTCTAGACACTTCCAACCTACTTTACATTTAACTTGGGGGCATCGAGCAAAAAATTAAAAACTTTTTTATTTTAACCAAAATGGCAGATGAAATCTTTCTGTTGTTTATGAGATGACAAACTCCCTACTAAAACATCAACAGTCAAACCTGGGTTTTGAACTACCACCTCATCCACTGATGCTCTAATACACTGATCAATATTAGTTTCCAATGTGAGGATCAATGACTGCATCTTTACACTTGTGTGTATGATACTTTTTTGAAATAACACAATTGGTCAGAGACTAACAGGACATGGTTGTCAATAAGAGCATGATCCTGGAACTGTTTTTGTTTTTGTGTCTGTGACATCCTGGAAGATGACCTTTGATAACCTCTGACCTCACACTTCCTCTAACAGAATTAGTTTCATTTTAAATTGGACACACGTCTCAGTAGTCCACTACCACCACCGTGATCTGTCTCATTCTAACGTGTCAAGCCTGGTTGGTTAAAGCGTCAACGGCACCACCGTGTGGCTACATTCAATATTGCACAGCATTAAAAGATGCGATGATTTTTGTAACTTAATATAGACCACACAATGACAAATAAATATCAGCTTTAAGAAGCACCTACATTTACACTCATTAGATTTAATGCACAGTAAAAGAGCAGCTAATGTGATATATGTCTAAGAACTTTTCTGTTGAACTCAGGGTGTAATATTTAAAGAAGAAAAACAAAAGACAGGAAACACAATTGAGATTTTAGTACATTTTCAGAATGAAAAATAAAATATAAAATATATACAAAATGTATATATAAATTTCAACATTAATGCTATAAATTAGATACAAATAACAGATATAGCATTGGAATTTAAAACCCTTATATTATAATTTAAAATATTAGGAAACTATATCTTATATATTAGACCACAATATATTTGCTCACATGTTGGTGGACTGTTAATACATTAACTTAAATAAATTCCAGTCAGTCTTGGTTAGTCTTGTCTTTTGCTTTGATTCTTATGTCGTCACGCAAGTCGTTAATATTATCCAACATTGATATTGTCTTACTTTGGATGGTGCGAGACAATATTAATAACTTTTACAACAATAAAATATCAAATATATAAATACTAAACGCTGAATCAAATGTAGTCAACAATTATTTGTAAACTCACATTTGCGTCTCATCACTCTCTCCAGCCAGTCCGCCCCGGGCTGAGGTTGACGCCGACTTAGGTGATCATTTGCAGGTGGTTTTAACGTTATGTGTCACATTGAAAATGGGGACTAACATATTTTATGCTTTTTTTAAATTAAAAAACCCTAGTTTCACTCTATGTTTTCTGTTCTTTTCGCCTCCACTTCGTGACATTTTGTCGACATCGCGCCAACAAGTTTGTTTTGTCGCCATCACTTCCCCATCTGTCTGCGCGTGCGCAGTTATATGGAATAATCCATTCGGTGAGAGAGGAGGGGAGCACATAACAACCATCAATCCAGAAAAAAACGTTTATAATGAATACAGATACAAGACAACGTTTAAAATCAATTTACGATACATTAACGAGGCATTTTAAATACCGGGGTAGCGAGTCACAGCCAGTTTACCTTACTTACCGGGAGCCCACGGGCCGTCAGCCCCCCCCTCTCTGCCGTGGCTCCACATGGTGGCGGTGAAACTGAATCTTTCTGACAGTTGCCCCTCGTCGTTTAAAATCTACGTTTACTCCACCTGTGACACCAGAAACATTTGTTTATTTCCCCCCAGGTCCCTTCACTGGCTCCGTACGAAACGGTTTTACAGCGGAGTTTAATTCAAATATGTATTTTGATGTAATTATTTTTTCCCCTTGTATTATTAGTACACATGTTCGAACAAGTTCACCAAAGACTATATATTGTGGTCATCCCTTGTATTATTAGTACACATGTTCACCAAAGACTATATATTGTGGTCATGCGGCGTTACTGCAGCTGGCCCAGTGGGTGGCGCTGCCGCATGAGCAGTACTGTACCATGTTATCATTCTGCCATATTTTTTGTATGAAAACAACGACAAAACACAGATGTTCAACATCAGTTCAAGAACATTCGAACATTAAATCATCATCGTTTTCACTCAGTCGATAAACCAAGTCCTTATCGTTGAAGTTAGTCTAGATATCGTCCTGTTCGGTTAAATCGTTAGTTCGTCAGTTTGGATCTGGTGGTGTCTTCGTGGTTCCTCCCTGACTTGACCTTTTTCCATGTTGAAATGTCTGTATTTATAAATGAAAATTACAGAGCAGGGTTTCTATTGACGGCGGTTGTAGTTTGTTTGGAAACATGTGAGGGGAGGGGTCTGGAGAGCGGCTCCAAGTGGATATGTGGGATTTTCTCTTCGTGAACAGCAGCTGGACGCATGCGCTGTGTCTCCGCTCCTTCTCCATCCTTTAAAGTGAAGGAACCAGCAGAATCAACTTATTTCTTTACCTGCTTAAAGGCGCCGCCGGCGGAGTGAGAGGTCCGGGACCGGGACGACGCGTTTTCTCCTGGAAAGTTTCAAGAAAATAACTGTTCACACGGAAGAAGCAGAGAAATCACAAGAAGACGGTTCGCGGAAGCCGGGAGCGCGGATTACTGGAATCAGAGCGTGTGTTGGTGTCACAGATGCGGAAACAACATGAGTGGAAACCGCGGAACCAAGTGTTTTCTCTCTCACGCGCACACGCTTCCAGGGTGATGAAGGTGTTCAGTTTGGCGCGACACTCACACACACACACTCACCATGAACTTCCCAAGTCCAGTTTCCTGGCACCTTCTCTCCGGGTAACGTCCGGTCTAGTGAGGTAACAGGCGTCAGGTATAACTGTGATGATGTCAAAGGTGATCCAGAAGAGGAACCACTGGATCACCAAGGTCCGGGACTGTTCCCTGCTGCGGGACGCGCGCGGGGAGCTGAACGTGGAGCTGCGCGGAGGAGCAGAGCACGGACAGTTTGTGTTTGTGGCCCAGATCGGTGAGGATGCGGTGGTTGGTGAGGGTAAAGTGAGCGAAGGAGAGCTGCTGCTGGAGGTGGAGGAGCTGCCAGTGCCCGGGTTACCGCTCTATGACGTCATGACCGTGATTAAGTTCTGCAGAGGTCCAGTCAGGCTCAAAACTGTGCGTCAAGGTAAGAAGTCAAAGGTTCCTTTAATGTATGTGTGTGTGTGTGTGTGTGGGGGGGTTCCCTTTGACACCAGGTGTCTGGTCTAAGGACTGAAATCCACTTCTTCTAAACCAGGGGTGTCCAACCCTGGTTCAGGGGCCACATTCAGCCTAGTTAGATGTCAGGTGGGCCGGACCAGAGTGATCACCACCACAACAACAACAACAACAACATTTAATCAAACATCTTTTTACAAAACATAAGGTGTTTCTGCAGTTTTTTTACTTTAAATTAATAAAATATTTGGCCGGGTTTGGTCCACAGGCCATATGTTTGACACCCCTGCTTTAAATGTTCAGTTTTTTTTCTCAGGAAAATAGAAAAAAAAAATTCAGATGGTTCTAGATGAGAACCTGACCATGTGATGTTTGGATGTTTGGTTTTAAAAAGCTTGACGGTAACTGGTGACAGCTGCTGGAGACCGGTCTGAACTGGTTTTAGTCGTTGACATCACACACCTGCAGGAAGGACTACACATCTGTCTGAGGACTTTCTGACTGGAGTCACTGGCAGTGGCTGCTTTTCCTGCAGCTGTCTTTCACCACTGGAGGAAACACAGTTGGGCTTCGTGGCCCAGGGGCACGGAGGGGAGTAAAGGTCAAAGTTCAACTGCTGCCTGATGGTTGAAGACTACTGTTCATCCTCCAGAACCACAGGCAGCAGTGGAGTAACACCATGATGATGATGAAGATGATGAAGATGATGATGAAGGAGATGTTGCGTCCTCACAGGCCTGACAGGAAGCTGCCCTGATTCTTCCAACAATCTGGGTCAGATCATCACAGTCACACGTGACATCACTGACAGTCGTGCGTTCTCGTGGCTCCGTCTCACCGTGACATTCAGACCAAACATTTAACAACAACAACATTTCGTTTTTACATTAAAAAACGAAACGTTTTTTCCACCGTTTTCACCAGGATTCAGCTGAAATCACAGGAATTGACGTGAGATTTTCCATCTGTGACTCAGGTGAACTGGTGCGTCAGGTTTGGCTGTGGAACACCTAAAAAAACCACAAGGCTAATAAAACGACTTGACTTAGCTGTAAATTGAACTGGTTACTGTGTTAACAACATAATAACACGTTAACTGGTCCTAATTCACCAGAGCTTGTGTTTGAGAAGCTGAAAGAGTTTATTTGTAGGTAATTAAGTTTCACAGGTAAAATTCACAATGTGATTAAATGAGGAAAATAAAATTAGCCTTAGCATTAGTTCAAACGACGTGAATTAAAGTAAAGTATTCTCAGTCCATTGTCTTGGAATGAACAGATACTCCAGCTGATGGCTCTGTGTTAATGATGCAGTACTAACATGTACTCAGATGTACTTTGTTGTAGACTCTCGTCGTACTGCGTGAGCAGAGTGTGTCACGTCTCTGAGCGTTAGCTAAGCTTGACTTCAACTCTACTGCAGCTGCGGCTGAGAGTCGGCCGACGGCAGCGTCAAACACGGCTTGTTTTTGTTTTTATGTGTGTTTTTTACAAGTATTTTTTAAAAACGTCAGCGATGTTTTTAATGTTTCACTGAAACGGTTTGATTCCCTGACCTGTGACTGTGGAGCCCTCTGATCATCCTCCCTGGTGCAGCACTGACACTGTTATATAACCAGAACAATAGCATGGTGCTGTCCACTCATGTGTGTGTCCATTAGTCCACGCTCCATCCTCGGAGCTAAAACCTCCACAACAGGACAAACACTCGCTGCTCTGAGCTGCGTCGTTGGAGGAGAGCAGCAGTTTGACACCGTCTGGAGATGAAAAAAATATTCAGAGATTTGGAATGGTTGTCAAATATCATGGAAACAGTTTGTACTTCAGTCACGTAGTGCAGTCAAAAGATTTAAAATTTGACTCTCAATATTTACATGATAGTTGTGGATTAATCATGTTGTAGCTAACGTTAGCTCTGGTGTCTGTACCAGGACTGTTGTAGCTAACGTTAGCTCTGGTGTCTGTACCAGGACTGATGTAGCTAACGTTAGCTCTGGTGTCTGTACCAGGACTGATGTAGCTAACGTTAGCTCTGGTGTCTGTACCAGGACTGATGTAGCTAACGTTAGCTCTGGTGTCTGTACCAGGACTGATGTAGCTAACGTTAGCTCTGGTGTCTGTACCAGGACTGATGTAGCTAACGTTAGCTCTGGTGTCTGTACCAGGACTGATGTAGCTAACGTTAGCTCTGGTGTCTGTACCAGTACTGTGGACTTGAAGTACTGCAGTGATTTATTTTCCTAAAATACTCTCATCCTTGATCTTATCCAAACCGAGGCCAGGAAGTTAAAAACCTTCTGCTCAACAAGCCCAGCAACATAGTCTGGTCGTCACTCACTGAACTTTCTCGTGGTTGACGTCACTGTGAATGTTGTGCCAGAGTTGAGGTGACTGGCAGAGGTGTAATTAGACTGGTCAACACAGACGTGTGTCTGTAATTATTTTTGTTATATAAATACATACACACATATACATATATATTTACAGACGCAGCTGCGCCCCCTGTGTTCTGGACCTGAAGTACAGACGTGACCTCTGGTGTCTGTCGCTGATTCTCCTCTAGTTAACTGAGATGATCTGTGAAACTCAGTCCTCTGACAACCTGACAAAACCTTCATTGTTCTTCACATTGTGTTGAGCTGCCATGCAGAACTGGTACTGACGCAGACACAGCCCCCCCCCACCCCCCCCTCTCTGAGTGGAAACTTTATCACGGTGCTCAGGCAGGGTGGCTGGGCAGCCGGGGGCAGGTGTGTCCCTCCCTCCCTCCCACTCACTGTGGAATGTAGTAACAGAATCCACCTTTACATTCTTGTGGAGAAGGTGGAACATTACACTCACTGCTGTGGGGGGGGGGGGGGGGGGGGGGGGGGGGGGGGGGGGGGCGTGAAAACATTTCTGTCTCCAAGGGGCAGCATGACAAAGAATAATTGAGAACCACTGCTCTAGACAAACTCAGGTTTGAAACCGTCTCATTCTGGACCATGACTGACAGCCATGGAATGTTGGTGCTGATCTCTGTAGATCTGTGCTAAAACGTCCAACAGGAACCGTTCAACTGTTGACATGGCAAACCACGTGTTTGAACAACCTGTCAGCCCATCAGTAATGTTAGGTAGGAATCATAATGTAAATACACTCAGTGACGGTGTAGTACTTTGAGTCCATGTGACTAATCAGCAGATCTTTGCTGTGGTCAAAGTACAGGAACCAGGACCCACCTTGGCACGCCCGTCATGTTCTTATCTTTGTTTATCAGCAGCTCGTAGGTTCAGTTCTCGTCGTCTTCTCCTGGGAGAGAGAGAGTGAGGGAGGGAGGGAGAGAGAGAGAGAGAGAGAGACAACCAGGTATAAGGTCGGTGACAGACGCAGACTGAGTCGCAGTGAATCTGAGAGACACAGAAGGAACCGACGCACTACGCACCTCCACGGTGTCCACACCTCTCTCTCTCTCTCTCTCTGTGTGTGTGTGTGTGTGTGTNNNAGCGTTCTCCCTCTGTTCACACATCTGCCAGGGATTACTGACCATGACAGACCCTGGTCCAAACACATGGATCCACTTCTACTTTGAGTCTGTGTCTTTGGTTTTGTTGTGGGTTTGAACTCCAAAATTACACCTTCCACCAAAGGCAAATAACACACAGTGTGGGAAACGTTCTCCTTTCCCAGCTCTCCTCTGTCATTACGCTGGGTTGAAGAGAGACTCGAGGAGAGCTGGGAACCTCACAACGTCTCACAACGTCTCACAATGTCTCACAACGTCTTAGAACGTCTCACAACGTCTCACAATGTCTCACAACGTCTTAGAACGTCTCACAACGTCTCACAACGTCTTAGAACGTCTCACAACGTCTCACAACGTCTTAGAACGTCTCACAACGTCTCACAACGTCTTAGAACGTCTCACAACGTCTCACAACGTCTTAGAACGTCTTAGTCCAAAACGTCTGTTTTCTGACGTCTACAGCGTGAGCCTCAGATATTTGAATCAAATATCCACAAACCATGTCTGTTCTTCTCCTTATCTCCCCCCTCACTCCCCCTCACTCCCCCCCCCACATCCGTGGAGACCAGACCCCCATCAGAGCAGTCTTTGATCTGTGGAGGTTGAAGGTTTGTCGAATCATTCTCCTCTGAAAAGGTGAAAAGTTAAAAGTCAACAAAGGAGTGACAACATCAAACAGGTGCAGCAGTGACAGGACTTAGTTATGGTCTGTGGGTGAGGGGGGGTCGGGGGGGGGGCGTCTAAATCACAGCAGGGTCCGACTTCCTCCTGATGTCGATGTTCTCACTCAGTCACAGCTTCACAGATGAATCTGAACAGATCTGCTCTGTGGTCGTGGACCAGTGTCATGACTGAGAAGATCAGCTGAGGTGGACCATCAGCTGAGGTGGACCATCAGCTGAAGTGGACCATCAGCTGAGGTGGACCATCAGCTGAGGGGGGACATCCA